AATAAATCATACAAACAGCAAATAAACAGCACGAAGTGTGTCGCTTATAATCTATCGGGTCTGTGAGCTTGCCGAGCAAGAGTCGTTATGGCTGGGCCTGATTGATGAGGGCCAGGAGTATATCACACGAGGTCGAGTTCTTGAAGAGCCTGTCGAGGAGGCCGAGAGCCGTCGTCCCGGAGAAGGAGAAAACTGAGACCTCGAAGAATGGTGGGGAGGTTTATAAACGGTGTAGGAACCGCCCCAAAAGAGGATGTGATGGCATTTTTGGAGGGTTTGAAAATGCGAAAATGATAATTAGGGTAAAGTGAAATGTGAAAAGGGAAAATGGAAATAAGGGTTTTTAAGGGGGTTAAAAAAAAGGAATGAAAGGAAAAATAAGAAAATAAAACGGTTGGGAATGCAAGCGCATTCCAAAATAGGAGCCAAATGGGATAAAAGGGACGAATGTATAATTAGGTTTTTACGGGTGTAAAAAAAGAGGAAAGACGAAAAATGCAGAAAACTGTAAACACGCAGGGATGCAAATTGCATTCTGAGTCATAAGGTAAAAGGGGGGAAAGAAGAAAAAAAAATATTATATAATTTCATAGGAAGAGCATATTTTACACGACACTTATATTCCTATTCATGACAGTGCCTCGCATATAGTTGCTAGCAACGATAAACTCCTAGCACATTCCAATTTAGTCTAGACAAAAAAATAAGGTTCTCCCTTTAATATACGCAGTGTCTAAGTTTCTTAAAAACCCCTACAACTTCCGTTTTATCACTTCCGCCACTTATTCCGGTGTTAAGCCTTTGAGCGCACTTTTGCATCGCATTCTTCAATTCTTTCGCCAAGATTTTCGTAACTACGCGGTTGCCGCACAACACAGATTACGCAAGTACCTCTTCCATAGTGTATGTAACTCTTACGAGTTACTATCCTTCAACAGCGAGTGCGGACCTGTTAACCACTTACACACGACAGACTTTCCACCCTCTTCACAAAACTCCCGAACCACGTAATCTACGACGCCCTCAGCTATATTTTCACGACAATCACCAAAGCTCGGCTCCATCTCAACCGCTTCGGCTTA